GCCCTCAGCCCCGTGTGCTTGTGGTCTGGCAGAGCCCGGGGCTGCCTGTGCCTCCCTGCGCTGCTCGGCCAGGCTCTGTAGGGTTTGCACTTTAGTCTCATCTTCAAGCTCCTCTTTCCAACCTGGGCTTGGCAGGATGCAAAGCCCAAAGAGGAAGGGGGAAGCAGGGAATGAATGGCTGGTGCTTGCAACACTAACAAGATACTTCATCCTTGTAAACTTCGTGGTGTGCTGGGGCAAGTTGAGGAGTGGGTGCAGTTGTGTGCCTGGGGCCAGCAGTTGTGGGCACAGCCTGGGAGTGTGATCTCTGGAGCTGTGGGGGTGTTACACCGCTCTCTTCCATTGCAGAGTCCTCTGCAAATTTGCCTTCAGCCTCTCTCAGGACTGGGAGCTGCCAATAAAGAGGGAGGTGAGTAGGGGGCATCTCTCATTCTCTTCCTCTGCCTCCTGAGAGGCTGTGGACAGGGCGGCTCTCCCTGCCAGGGCAGGCTGTGTGCAGGAGCTGTGTGGCAGCTCTGGCAGAGTGTGTTGCCCGCTCCTGCCCAGCTGGGGCAGGGGGAAAGGGCGCGCCCCTCCTTTCCCCGGTGCTCTCCAAACTGCAGGGCCTATCCCTGTCTCAGCGTGCAGGTGGGAAGTGCAGGAGGCTGCTCTGTCTGGCTGCCGTTGACCTCGGCATGCTCGGGCTCTGCCCGCAGATGCAACCTCCCCTTCTCTGGGTGCGGGGCACTGACCCAGGTCTCTGTGTCATCCTGCAGGAGAAGGAGAAGAAGCCGCTGAAGGAAGGGGTGCAGGACATGCTCGTGAAGCACCATCTCTTCAGCTGAGACATGGTGGAGGGTGGGGGAAAGAAATGTGCGCCATTGAGAAGGCTCCCCAGGATGGGGTGGGGTGGAGGTCACCCATCTATGTCCCAGCTGAAGAGATGGTGCTTCACGAGCATGTCCTGCACCCCTTCCTTCAGCGGCTTCTTCTCCTTCTCCTGCAGGATGACACAGAGACCTGGGTCAGTGCCCCGCACCCAGAGAAGGGGAGGTTGCATCTGCGGGCAGAGCCCGAGCATGCCGAGGTCAACGGCAGCCAGACAGAGCAGCCTCCTGCACTTCCCACCTGCACGCTGAGACAGGGATAGGCCCTGCAGTTTGGAGAGCACCGGGGAAAGGAGGGGCGCGCCCTTTCCCCCTGCCCCAGCTGGGCAGGAGCGGGCAACACACTCTGCCAGAGCTGCCACACAGCTCCTGCACACAGCCTGCCCTGGCAGGGAGAGCCGCCCTGTCCACAGCCTCTCAGGAGGCAGAGGAAGAGAATGAGAGATGCCCCCTACTCACCTCCCTCTTTATTGGCAGCTCCCAGTCCTGAGAGAGGCTGAAGGCAAATTTGCAGAGGACTCTGCAATGGAAGAGAGCGGTGTAACACCCCCACAGCTCCAGAGATCACACTCCCAGGCTGTGCCCACAACTGCTGGCCCCAGGCACACAACTGCACCCACTCCTCAACTTGCCCCAGCACACCACGAAGTTTACAAGGATGAAGTATCTTGTTAGTGTTGCAAGCACCAGCCATTCATTCCCTGCTTCCCCCTTCCTCTTTGGGCTTTGCATCCTGCCAAGCCCAGGTTGGAAAGAGGAGCTTGAAGATGAGACTAAAGTGCAAACCCTACAGAGCCTGGCCGAGCAGCGCAGGGAGGCACAGGCAGCCCCGGGCTCTGCCAGACCACAAGCACACGGGGCTGAGGGCCGCACACAGCTGGCAAGGGCAGGTTGCAGGTTCCTCTCCTGAAAGCAGTCCTCTGCCAGTAGCAGCTCAGAGTTTCTGTACCGCCCGCGCCCCCTCTCCCCTGGAGTAAGAGAAGTCTCCTGACCCCCATGCACAAGTGCCACATATGGGTGGCACACGGAGGTCCCTCGCTGGACCTAGCTCTAGGACAGGGACGCAGCTCGTACCTCCTGGCAGCAAGCTCGTCAGTCCTTCAGGCTCAGGGGAAACTCTGCTGTGGAGGTCTCCTCCAACTCCTGCAGCAGTGAGGGAGCTGGGGCCCTCCCCACAGGAAGCTGGCTGCGAGGAATATGGCTTAAGCCTCTGCTCCTGCTCCACACAAACCCGGGCCCGGCCATGACCCAGTCTCAGTCCTTCAGCGGTGCTGAACCAGCACCGCCCCCACGCTGTGAGAAAAGGGACACGGCAGCACAGAGGTGGATGGGACTCCCTTCCTTCCGTTCTGCAGCAGCACCAGGAGAACAGAACAGGGCACCCCGAGGTGTGCACACACAGGCCTGCTCCTGGCTACAGGTGCTCCCACCGGGGCTGAAGGCAACCGGGTGGCACAGACAAAAGCCAGTTCCTGCAGAATGGCAGCAGCAGCAAGGCTGGAGCAGTGGTGTGGTGGGTTTGCTCTGTGGCTCCCTGAGACTGGACTTGGCTTTGCAAAGCACGGGGAGGGCCAGGAGCACGCGGCGTGGGTGTGCACCCTGGGCTCCAGGCGACGTGCTTTGTGCAAGCTCAGGCACTAAAGCTGCGTTTAGCCCAACGTCTTAGCCCATGCTTAACCAGGAGTCAGACAGTGAGCAACTCCTTCCTGGCTAGTGACAGTCTCCCTAGCACATTCCCTGATTGGACTCATGGTGCCTAGCAGAGGACCTGTGGAGTAGGGGGATGGAAAAAAGGCAGTGTCTCCATCAGAGCAGGTGCAGGGCACAGCAGGAGGCTGCTCTGATAGGCAGGCAGAGGCTGCCTGCTTGTCACGGCAGCTACCCATGAGCCAAGCTCTACTCTTGGATCAGGCAGGCACAGTGCGACACATTAAACTGTCTAGACAGTTGCTGCTGCCTCAGCACACAGAAGAAAATCTCTGCAGTGGGGATGTCTGGGCAGCCCATGCTGC